ATCTGAGCAAGATTTTACAATCTTAGTTCATGAAGATGAAATAGTATCTGAGATAAAATCTTTTAAACAATGTCTTCAAAAAACATTACAGGATTTAAAATATAAAGATAATACTAATACTGTTTAAGATATCAATATTTTAAGGCTAGAAGATAAGATTGAACAATTTAAGACCTATATTTAAGAAATAACTGGTCTAAGTTAGAAAAAAGTTTCAAATAATAAAGAAATATTGGATATAAAGTACAATACAAGTAATATTAGATAAACAATTTGAGGCATCATCCTCTTTAGCAAGAATTCAGATACATTTGGATAATACAGAAGTTATTCTTTCAGATAATATAAGAAGACAATTAGATAGAGTTGGTATATATTTAGCTAATATTATTACTTATACTGGTACAATTCATCAGTTTTGACAAAATCAGAATATGGTAGTTGAATAAAGTGTTTGACAAGCCAGAATCCTAGGGAATATTTGCAAGAAATCTGAGCAAAGTTTCAGAATGATAACTATATGCTAATACAAGTTCTAAATAATGAAGTAAATGAGTATCGGGTATGGTGGCTTAGAACTTAGAGAGCAGAAAGGCATAATCATATATTAATAAATCGAAGATACAAAGCTGAGGCTTACTTAGCAGAATTCAATCGAGCCTAGGTATTTAACCTATATCAAAAATGAAAAGCTTGAGAAATAAATTTTAGACAAATTATTTTGAATTTACAAAATAATCCACTTGAAAATATGATTATCCTACCAAATGTTTTAAATTCAATGGTCTTACTTTAATCTCAAATATCACAATATATTGGTCAAGAGCTACCAGATGATTATTATAATAAGGTTATGCAAGCAATTAATTATGGCCATTAATTAGGAGTTGTAGGATTTAATGATGTTATGAAAACTAATATATTAGCAGATAATATGGCAGGAAGGTTTACTCCTTCAAATCCATTTAATAATAGTATAGGAAATGCAGTTAATACTTTAGCATTACTTATAGCATAGCTTCAAGAAATATATTGTGCAGTAAAACTAGGTTCAGCATAGGCTTTTATGAAAGTGCTTATGCCTGATAAATTTCTTTCTATTAATACTTTATAAATATATAAAAAACAGATTAGATCACGTGTAGATACTTTACCATTTGCATATTTGTTAGTATCCTTCATTAGAATTTGTGGTAGCGGGTAGACTAATTTTAATTAAGGAGAATCTTTTTATACTATAGTACTTTACAACCAAAAATGCTGATGACTTCACTACTGTAGTTACTCCTTGTAGGGGCTCTCCTTTAATGATCCTGATACCCTAGTATCACTTGATGTGAATTCACAATATAGAAGAAGCAGTTGCCTATTCACCTATAATAGATGGTAGGGTTTCTTAAAATCGAATCGAATTAAATATTTAAGCAATTTGAATTTGATTTGATTTTTTCAAATTGAATTGAATTGAATTGAATTGAATTCAAATATTTGATCGAATCAATTTGAATCAATTTGAATTTGATCAAATTGAATCAAATTGAATCAAATATTTGTTAAATTAAATTAAATCAAATATTTGTTAAATTAAATCAAATCAAATATTTGATTGAATTGAATTGAATTGAATTGAATATAAAATTTTTTTAATTTTTATAATGATATATTAAAATAAAGTTATTCTAAAATTTTAATTAAGAAAATTATTAGTAATTGCACTAAATAATTTCAAAGATAGCTTTTACAAAGTAAGTTTAATAACAGGTGAATTTTTACTAGTAAACTTAGTGAAATAACTCTGCAGTTTCAGTTTTACTAAGAAAACTTAGTATAACTGCCATCGCAGTTTTAGTTTACTAAGAAAACTTAGTATAACCACTATCGCAGTTTTAGTTTATTAAGAAAACTTAGTAATAACTGTCATTATAGTTTCAGGATTACTAAGAAAACTTAGTAATAATCGCTATCTTGACTTCATAACAATTTTATTAGTAAAAAAGACATTTCTGAAGTTGCATAAACACTTTTTGCTATGGTTTTCTTAGTAAAAAAGGCATTTCCGAAGCTGCAGAGGCACTTTTTACCATGGTTTTTTTAGTAAGAGCTACTTCTGAAGCTTTGGAGATAGCTTTACTATTGATTCAAATTAAATCAAATATTTGATTTGAATTTGATTGAATCGAATCAAACGTTAATTTGAATTTGATCAAATTAAATCAAATATAAATTTGATTTTGTATTTGATTTGATTTTTAAATTAAATATTCAAATATCAAATCAAATTGTGTAACCCTAATATATGATATTGTACCTTCATTAATGGCAACCCAATTTGTAATATTGGTCTCAGATGTGATCTCTTACAATTCATGTTAATTATTTAGCACTTTATGCATATATTGACTCGACCAATTCTTATTCAACTTTACCTTTTTCCTTTTTTCATATTACTCATCTCTTTGAACCCATTTCTATGAACTCTCTTTAACATTGCACATTTCTTTATTAATACTTCTTCTCTTCAGTTTTATATAGATGGCTCTTTGCTCAATATTGGTACCAGCTTTTCTAGGTTAGGATTGTCTGGTTACTCACTACTCCAAACCTTTCTTTTATATCTTTGAATGCTATTTTGAACACTACGTCATCCAGTTCTTTGCTTACTGAACTAACAGTAATAATTGCTGCTGTTATTACAGCTATTAAAACAGCTTCAGTAAATATTTGTACTAATTCTTTAGTCACTATCCAAAACTTCGAGCGCTTTCAACATTTCTTAACTATTTTATCAACTTTTAACCTAACCTTTAAGATAGATTGCCACGCTATATGATACATTTTATTTCGATTAATCTCTTATAATAAATTGGTATTCAGTTTTACTAAAGTCAAAGCTCATAATAGCAATTAACACAATTACACTGCAGATCAACTAGCAAAGTAACATACCCCTAATGTAATCTCTTATAATGCTGATGCTTTAGTCGTAAAGTATTATTTTTGCTTTAAATAATCTTCTATTAACACTTCATCTAGACATGGTATAAAAAATGATTTTTGAGCTTCACATTTTAAAGTTTTATAAATTTACCATACTTTTCTAAATATGAAAGAGCTCTATACATTAGGAAGCTACCTGCTTTATCTTGAATAACAACAAACATACATCATCAATTATTCAAAGCTTCGTATCTAAAGAAACAAAAACTCAAACTTCTTCTTGAAATGATTCCAATGGTTGAAGTTCTTAAAAAAAGGCATCTAGATCTCTATTCACAGAATCTTTCATGTGTACTTTGCAATGTAATCAAAGAAGACTTTAATCATATTTGGCTTTATCCTTTTAATTGAAATATCATATACAATACTAGTGTAATAATACAATGCTTATTACTTACTATCTTATAACAGTCGATAAGGAATGATACCATTCTTAATAATGACTTCTACCCCTGACTGCTCAACACTTATTACAAACAATGACATCAAAAAATTACAACAAAAGAAAATGAAATGGAGGTAAACATAGTTCTTTTAACTTCTAACGACAAAAGAAAACAACTCAAACAAATTATTTTACTAACTGTTAATTATAGTGAAAATGAAAGTTTTACGTCTCAGAAATTTACTCAAACTTAAGAATAATAATAATATAATTAACTTCGCTTAAGAAGATGACTCTCCTTTGTTTTTCACTTACTACACCAGCAAAAAAATTCTACCAGAACGCCCAAACAAAAAAATATCAATTTGACCAATGAAATCTTCAATAAATCATATCTACTTTCTTTTATTGGTGTATCTATTAGACTCTATCTGGATTATAAATAAACTAAAATTATTAGAATTGGATTTTCAACACGTATTGACTTTGACTAAGCTTTCACAAGTAGATTATTTAATTAGAAAATAAGATCTTCCTCACTTTAATGATACAGAAAATAGCAAAGTTTACCCTTGAGCTGTCAATCAAGATTATGGAGATTCTGATCTCTATTTCTGTATAAAATATTAGATTATTCTTTCCTTTTTTGGCAAAATTGCATGTTATGTGATTTCCACCAAAAATTTATGGTAATAAGCCATAGTTACTTTTGAAGAAAGTACTGACATGTCTCAGTTAGATAATGTAAATGGATATTTTGTCTTCAAGGACATGGTCTGAGTTTACTGTTATACCCTCGCTAATAAAGATATAAGAAAAAATCAAAATTCTCATTCAAACTTACCAATTTACCAAAGGATATTAATAGAAGATAATTAATCTTTATAGGAAAAGCAGTCAAAACTATGGCCTTCATCATCCCAAAATTCAAATCAAATTATCACAACTTATAATACGCTGTTTTCTATTTTAAGAATAAGAATCAGCACAAAATGTTGACATCATATATCTCAACTAAAAAAAACTTATTTGGATGGACTTATCTAGTAAACTTTGTTTCATCTATTCAGTCTGTGTCACTGATCTGACAATTATAGGAAAGTATAACACATCCCTAAAGATAGACAAATGCAAAATCTGTATCAAAAATACCAACCTGTATAGTTCAAAAATTATACAGTGCTAACTAAACCAGTCTATAATATAGTCTTCTTTGCTCATATAACTAATAAAGGAAAAGGAAGTGTTTCTGATGATTCTGGATTGCTATTAAAACTATTTTACCAAGATCCCTATCTAATAATAATTGTAAAAGAAGGAAGAATTCTTTAGATGCAAGTATACATACACATGAAAATTAGGCGAACGAATCAGAATCCCTCCATATAGCACTTAAAGATTATCCCAAACTAATCAACTATTTATCAGAATATGAATAACCAGATAAAATGGACCTTCTTATGACTAAACTGGATGCAATTGCTTCTCAATTAGTCCAATTATACGATAACCTAAAATTTACAACGAACGAGTTATGATCATAAAAACCCTATTACATATTTATTCCTCTTTCCCTAAATAAACTGCTACCATCAATATTTATCCAATAAGCAAGACCATGAAGGATGATGACTGCATTGTAAAAGTAGGCATAGATATATTGGAATCCATCACCACATTACATAAATTCGACATCGATTATTTAAAAAAAGAGAATCAATATCTCAAATGCAATTAACAGATGAATGTAGTAAAATTCAATGAAACACTTAAAGATAGGTACCAAAATTAAGAAGTTGCAACTTGGTAAGTTGCAACTTGGTTGCAACTTCTTGTAAATTTATTTTAATATAAAAATTCATAAATAGTTGCAACTTAAAGTGTTGCAACTTAAGTTGCAACTAGTTAAAAATTTTAAAAATAATTATGGAAACTATCTTTAGATGTACTTAAAGCTATCGATATAATTCAACAGATGATAATTACTGATAGACAATTACATGATAGTTATCGTATTCCCATAGCTGTCTTTGATAAACTGAAAGACTTCTTAGATACTGAAGAAGAATATCCACTACAAGCATCCCAATTTTAATGATGAGTAATACTATCATAATAATACGTCTAATATAATATCTACTCTTAATATAATTACCCACAATGTTTTATCCTTAAAAGACCCTGTCAAATAACAATTATTATTGCAACTCCTTATAAATTTATTTTAATATAAAAATTCATAAATAGTTGCAACTAGTTAAAAATTTTAAAAATATTATGGAAACTATTTTTATGCATGACAACCTTAATTTCACCAATGATAGGATCAATTCTATAGAAGTACTCTTAAATGTCTACTCCACTTCTTCTAAACAGGCTGTAATTCTCAATACCTGTCCCACTGGTAAAATCATGAAAGAAGATGACTACATAGTTATCCTAGCTATTGATGTCTCTAAATTTATAGTTTTCTCCCATAAAATTGATATTGAAAATTTAAAAGAAGAAAACCACCATTTGAAATACAATTTGCAAGAGAATGTTAAAAATTGAATGAGGCTTTAAAAGCCATTGATATTATGCAATAAATGATGATCTTAACTAGACACTTGCATAAAAGTAAAAGAATTCCAATTAGTATTCTTAATAAACCAAAAGATTTTATACAAACATCTCAAGTGGAATTCCTTCCCACTCCTTTTCATTATAATCATGATTAGTACAAATTATAATAATAGTATTCCACATTTTTTATTATCACCATCTTCACCATCTATTGTTAATATTACTTCTCATAACATTATTTTCTTAAATAATCTGACTAAACAACAACTCCTTATGAACCTGTATAAACATCATAATTGTGATATCATTGTAGTATAAGATCTTAAATTCAAAAATTACCAATTAATTTTCACTTTTAACAAAACTCTAAACAAAGATTATTATATCATATTTAACATACTTTCTGATCTTAACAAACAGGTAACAGTATTAGCACAATCCTAAAAAATTAATTAGCTAACCATATTTTTCATCACAATTATTTGTAGGATCACATTATGTATATAAACCTTCAGTTGCTAAACAAATATTGTATTTACATCATTAATACGTATATTATTCCTTTAAACAACAATTTAAGAAAAGCTTTATATCATAAGATAATTGGTTTCTTTAAGCAAGATTATGAAAAGTCTATGCAAATTATCCTGGTTGGTAACCTAAATGCTGAGCTGAAAAGAACAACAAATCTAAAATATTTCAACCATGGTAATGTAAATATTAGTGTTTTAACCTTTCAGCGAGCTGGTCATATATCTAATAGAATAGACCATATGTATTATTCGACTGAATTAACCCAATAGGTATTATCTCAGATTTTAATTGCAACTGATCTTTTAGATCATAATTTACTTCTAACTTCAATGAATTGCTCACAATGGTCTTGTAAGAAACCATCTTCACCTATTAAAAGATCATACTTTAACGTTGAAAAAATGACCCTAAAAAACTGGAATGAGTTCACCTTGCAAACTGATACGCTAATATCAGTTAACCCTATTAAAAATCTCAATATTATTAACCTTTAGTCTCAGATTAATTTAATTTTTTTTTGGAATATTATTCAAAATCTTATTATTACAGCAGCTAAAAAGCACATTTTATTTAAACAATCAAAGGAACATATGAAAAGTCTTTAACTCAAGCTCTTTAACAAAACCTATCATTTTTTGAAACTCATATAAAAATGAAAGAAACTTACAATTAACATTATTGAGTCACAAGTCTTTGATAAACACTGGACGATTTTATCGTCACTTTGGAAATGATAGTTTATTCCTTTAGGGATGATTTCATCGTCATTTTGGAAATAATAGTTCATTCATTTAGGATGATTTCTATCATCTCTTTAGAAATAATATCATTTCTTTGGGATGATTCTATCATCTCTTTAGAAACAAATATATCATTCCTTTGAGATAATTTCTATTATCTCTTTAGGGATAAATGTATCATTCCTTTGGGATGATTGTATCATTTCTTTAGGATGATTTCTATTGTCTCTTTAGGAATGATAGTTCATTTCTTTAGGGATGATTTTTATCATCTCTTTGAGAATATTAGTTTATTCCTTTGGGACAATTTCTATCATCTCTTTATGAATGAATGTATCATTCTTTTGGGATGATTTCTATCATCTCTTTGGGAATGATAGTTCATTTCTTTAGAAACGATTTTTATCGTCTCTTTAGAGGAATGTTTTTATAATTTTTGCAAAAATCAATTCATCAGATTTCGACTAGTGAGATACAGTTAATTTGTTGCTAAATCTTGAGTCTAACTGAAATTTGCTGAATATTATAACCGAAAGTTCTTAATGCTGAAATAATATTAAATTATGTGTGATATAACAAATTACTATCAATTTTTGTAATTATAACTAAATTTTTGTCAAATTATATGACCAAATCAACTGAATGTTTATCGAAAGGTCTTAATGCTGAAATAATACTATATTATATGTGATATAATAAATGACTATCGATTTTTGTAACTTAAGCTAAATTTTTACACAAATCACATGACTGAATCGGCTAAATATTTACCAAAAGGTATTAGTGTTAAAATAAATGATTTTGACTAGTATCTATCCTTTCAGATGCATAAAATGTCATTTTCATTTACTCAGTTTTAAAACCCAAGCTTTAGGAATATGTTTTTAATAACACATAACCTATTACATTACTGGAATGCTTAAGAAAAATACTTATCAAACTAATTAACAATTCACTTATTAACAATGATATATTAATATCAAGTCCTTAAAGGATACAATTCACTGGTCTTCTGTATAAATTTACAAAGAATCCAATTCATATTTTAGGCAAAATAAAAAAAATACTTAGTTCACCAAAATTACTTATGAAACTCATTCTAAAAATATCTAAGGCCTACGATAAAGTCAATCTTAGAATGCTCTATAAAGCCATGCTAAAACTCTGTCTACCTAATAATTTTATTGAACTAATTTTATCATTTTTCGCTTTTTATTTTAACCAAGTTTTCACAGCTCATAGCATTATACTAATATATTCAGTTCTTTCTGGTATTGATTCAAAATGAAATTATTTCACCTATTCTTTGATGTATTTATTTTGATCTCCTACTATGCCATATCCAAGATATTGATCAGGAATATCATCTTTACGTGCATACTCCATTTTTACATTTGACTTTATCGCCTTGACATCATAACAAAGTGCATGTATCTGCTCTTGCTTATATGGATGATACTCTTTGATTCAGCAATTCTAAAGTTTCACTTAATAATTTAATGGATATCGCAGATAGATTTTATATCTTAAATTCAATACAAGTCAATTGGATTAAATTAGAACTATTTTTTCCATTTAAAAATCAAATACTGTTCATTTTTAACTTCCATCTGAACCTGTTAACCTCCTACTAGATAAACATAACTCCTTAGTCAAATACTTAGAAATTTTCTATGTCACATAATAAGCATTTTATACAATGACAAGTTTATCAAGAAATCTATATAGCATGTCAAACTTTTGATATCTAATAGTCTTACTGAAAAACAGATGATTTATATTTATAACATTGTTCTTCTTCTCAGACTATTTTATAAACACAGCTCATCTTTTTAGAACTAAAGTTCTGTGACCAAATAATGAGCACATTTAGACATCTTAAATCCAAACTGCTCCTTTCTAAAGATATACCTATTCTACCTTTTACTCACTTCTTTTATACAAAATTCTGTATGATTCACAAATTCAAGATAAAATGACTATTCTTAATAATATCTCTAATGATAATGATCTAATTGATTACACTACAAATATTAGACTGCTTTAATTATAAATCATAGAATAGCTTCCAACTTCACATCTCCAAAACTGGCTACATATTGATCCAACACCCTTTAAAGATTGGATTGCGACTCTGGTATCAGCCCTGAAAAATCTGGATTTTAGTTTTAAGACATCTTTAAATCATGAAAATGCTGTACTAGGCAGATCTACACCTATTCACTCTAAATTTAACCAATCATCTTATAGAAAGATTATCCTTACAATTCGTTCTAAAGGTTTAATATACTGTGAACAGCTCATTTTTGCTAATAGTTAGCTTTTTACATATGCTGATACCAAAGTATACAATAATTGACGAACACCACTTCAAACACTCCGATGGTACAAGCATCTAGAAAGCTGCTTTAATATTGACCAGACTATTAGCAACAAAATGATCTTTCCATCTTTTCCCATCTTTAGTTAAACTAATACAGTCAACTCTCTCTATAGTCACAAATTTGAGACACATTATATGAAGTGACTATAAAAAAATGTGACTATATGAAAAAAAATTTTTTTTAGTCATATTTTAACAATAAACATCTGAAAAGTTTCGTCCGAGTAAAGTGGAACAACCAGAAGCTGATAATTTACCCCAGAGCATCTTTAACAATAATCGTGTTCGAGAGTTTGTTGAATGTGATTTTTGTGGAAAAATTCGATGTAGTTATAGTATGAATGCTCTGAAAAAAGAATAGATATTCGTATTACAACTCAAAATAGATGATACTGATTTTACTTGCGGGATGGAAGATGGATACCACTTTCACACGAGCTGAAAAATATAATTTTTATTCGTCAATCTCTCAGCTGTGATTCTCCAATTGAAAGTGGTTATTATTCAAGCCGTTTAAAAAAATCTCCTATTTGTTATTATTGCGGTAAAAATAATTCATTAGTAGAGGCGAGTGATGATTTACTTAATGGATATCAATCTGTATATCCACTTTGTTCTAATTGTCAACTTTCAGGTCATTCTTTCATACTTGGAGTAAAAAAAAAGTTGGGGAATCAACAAAAAGAAGAAAAAGGACGTGAGTTTTACAGTATAATCTTAATCTTTTAATAAAACAATTTTTCAAATAAATTTATTTTACGTTATTTTTTATGAAATCACGTGATATGTAAATGTTTATTTAAATCTAAATATTTGGAAAAATAGAGGGGGGAGGTTGATGTTAAACGACACGATTTGTTGGAGCGGCCTTATAAATAATACTACACCACTTGATCACATTTATTTTTTTAATAAAATAATATATTTTAATAGAAGCGATTATCATTTTTTTATTTGCTATAAACAGTATAATATGGGGCCTTAGGGGGGAAACTGCCGGAAAAAATAAGAAATTAGTTTGAACATACTGTATTTCGGCCTAAAAATCATATTTGGCATATAAAGTAAATTTGATGTTTCCCGGCAGTTTCCCCCCTTTCTATTGAAAAGGCCCCATATGATATATCACCCTCATAAATTAATCCATGGATTAAATTTATCGGGACTTTTGAACAGGACGGCGCCTCATAATTCGGGTTAACCCTAGAATTTTCCACCCCCACGTGGCATGCACAATTTGTTGGGCCCCTTAAATGTCACCGATCAAAAAGTCATCCGGATTATAATATTAAAAAATTTTGATTTTATTATTGCAAATTACACGATTTTTTTTGCACATTGCGGCATAGTTATAATTTTATTCACTGCCCTGCTATTATAATTCACCAACTTTTTCTTCTATTATTATGGCGAACAAGGTTAGTAGACGCGTAAATATTATTTGTAGTACTATATCAAATGGCATCCTACGCTTGTATGGCCCTTCACATTCCTGTGGACGACATATGACCGATGCTTGGAGGGAAATTTCTTAGACACCTCGCAGTACGCTTCTCTGTACTCCTACTGTGTAGCCACGCTTAGAAATTCTTGACCAGAATGCTGACAACAATATTCTACGCCTATATGATCCTTCACATTTTTGTGGACGACATGTAGCCGATGCTTGGAAAGAGACTTCTTGGACACCTCGCAGTACGCTTCTCTGTACTCCTACTGTGTAGCCACGCTAAGGAACTCTTGACCAAATATTGTCTTGTCGTTTTTCTTATCACTAAAATAGTTCTTTAAGTACACAAGATTCACTAACTATTCTGTTGATTTTTTTTTTTTTGGAGGCTGTCTCCTCCTTTTTTAAGAACAATATCTATTCAGAATGGTCGATTCTCAGCTGTCTCAATTTTGTTTTAAGTAATAATGATGTAAATGCTGATGGCATCGAATCAATTCTTGAGCATATGAAGAAGAAACTCCAATCAATCAGCAATGATCGAAATAATTTATCTCGCGCACGTCAAAAAGCACTTTCCATTCTCTCCTCTTTTAACAAGACGATCCAAAGACCCGAGATTCAGAATGTGCTTCAAGCGATTATAAAGAAGGTAATTAGTGGTTTTTCATGAGTTTTGACAAGAGTACGTATAATTGATATATTTTTTTTTAGAGTGAGGCTGAGTCAAGAAAACTATTATATAAAGAAGCGATGAAGATAGAAAACATAAACGATAAGATGTCAATTGCCCCAGATACAAGACTGACAGAGGAATTGGTAAGTATCTTGCAATCAATGTAGAACGGTTTTTTCTTTTAGGATCAACCGAAAAAAATGAATAACTATATTGTTTATAATTTTTAAGAAGATAAATCAAACAGAAGTCGAAACGGTAGGCATAAGTAACAATAATGTTAAGGTTATTTTGATGCTTCAAGTTGTAAAATTTTTTTTAAAAATAATTATTCCCTACAGGATGAGGACGACTCAGAAGGTGATGACGAGAAAGACCATTTTAATTTCCAAACTGATAAGAATGATTTTGATGACGAACTCGATGACGATGGTGAAAAATCCCCCGTAGTAATAGTTGTTGAACGTCGGGAAAGTCGGTCATCGTCTCTTAATTGCTACCCATTTAGTATGTTTTGTATATTTTATATTCTAAATATTGCGTATATTTATAAACTTCGAAGATATCTATCATCACGATTGTATATATTCTTAACATATTTGATATCCATTGTTTTAAAGCATATAATACCCTCCCTTGTAATCATAAAAAAATTGATACAGGAGAACAAATCCTACTTGCGGCCAAAGATAGTCTCGTCAATGATGAAATTAAGTTTTTCAAGAAATTCATCCCAGTTTTCAAGGAATTTAAAGAAAAACAAAAAACAAATGTCTATTCGTAAGTTTTTTTTTTTAATAAGGAATATAATATATAAAAGCTTTGTAAGATGCTGACGTTTCTCGTTATTTAGCTGTTCCAATGATGATGTTATGGATATAAGGGGAAATAGTGAATTCGCAAATTATTTAAGTGTTGACCAATATGCTGAACTCTTATCAGTTAAGCCTAAAAGGGATGCAAATATACCTGCATCTTGGAGGAGAGTTATAGACGATTATTATACGGTACTGCATTAGTAAAGTGATTGTGTGTAATAACAATATTATTATTAATATAATTATGTTCGTATCTTACAGGACTCAATAAATGATAAGAAAAAATCAATTGATGATTGGGTTTGTGTAACAAATGATCTTATTGTATTAAGCGAGAAAGATACTGATGAGACGGCCCAAATTAAAAAATATTTATATATAGTGATGTCACCTTTGTAAGTATTGGTCATTGAAAGATGGTTGCTTTATTAATATTATTCGTTATTTGTATGATTAACGAGCTTTTCATAGGATTGAATCATTTTGCAAACCTATTCCAGCAATAAGTGCGCACAACACCAGTGAACATCATTACTGGTCGGAATTTGGTCATCGTTTTTTTTCTAGAGCATTAGATGATTTTGTTGGACTTGATTGGCGTGCGTAAGTATTGGTTTCAATAAAAGTTAGCTCTATTATTTACGTGCATTTAATAAGATTCATTCCTTTCTCCTTTCAGTATGGAGGTTCCTGTGCATGCATCAAAATACAGAAAAAATCACGGTCTTGATCATATAGCTCAAAAAGTGGTTGATGGAAAGTCAGCCGATATACTAGCATGGACTGAAAGTGGAGAGGAAGTATTCGTGGGCGAACAATCGGGGCCTCCAACAAAATTGGATTTAACAAAATTCGCGACAGATTCCTTTAAACTATACAGAGAGCTGAGAGATTGCTTAAATGTACGGATCTTGCATGCAATGGAGATTGGTGATACTAATTATAGTAATCGTATTGTATTTGGTGTGTTGGGGCAATTATTCGAGATAAATATGTTGCTTATGTGGAAGGATGGGGTATACATATATGAAGAGTTCGGATCCTTAACTATCGCATCTCATTGTAATAAAATATATACAATGAAAACAGGAATGATAAGATTATTAGAATTTATTGTGAGTTTTGTTTATCTTATGTATATTTTGTATGTCTTTCGTTCGATTGAATAATTAATTGATACATTCTCAATTTTTTAATTATTATATTGCAGTTGGTTATAAAGGATGAAGTTACAAAAAAATTCGAAGCCAGTGAATATGATAATGATAAGATACAATTCTTAAAAAGAAAATTCAGAGAAATTTTACCAACTCGTCCTTCACCAATAAAAAAATCAAAACTTAAGGACACATTAATTTTATAAATACTGTATTAATTCGAGATCTTAGAAATAATCACTTTTCCGATTTGGGGTGCCGTGCCGATCATATATATTCATAGAAATCGGTCATAATTCATCTTTTTTGAACTACGCTAGGCATGGACGAGTCCAATGGTATTGTCGACAATACGGAAAAACAAGACAATTGAAAATAATTGAAAAACAAGAGGAAAATAGATGCTGAGCGAAAACTCGATAACTGGATCATATCACCAAACAGCCCTTAAGAAGATTCTGAAGACGATGACACAAATACTGAGGAAGTACTAATGACAGGACCATCATTTTGTATGAATAAAACTTTTACTTTTACCTGCATATAAATATAACAAGTTTCAATAATTTCATTCCTTGTTTTATGCAATTTATGGTAAAACAAATAAATGTTATTTATTGTCAAAAATTTACTTTATTTATTAAAATTTACAGTTATTATTTAGCGTTAAAGCTTTTACTTTACGAAATCCTTATGAGTATAGGGAAAAAGCTCCTTCTTCCACTAATCCTTTTAGTTCATTATGCATCTCCTGAGCTGTATATTTTTCGCATATCCAGCTAAGAAATATGCCTCAAGGTATGGAATAACATTTTTTGCTTGTTCGTTTACCTCCTCCTTTTTTACCAAATTTCTGTCTTTCTTTTAAAGCCCATCCATCCACTTGGTAGTGCAAAATCCAACGTAAAAGAAACTTGCACTGAATCAAAAATTCGTGTCAATAGTTTCAGTATTCAACACGCCTATTGTTTGGAAAATTGGATAATATAACCACAATTTTATATAAGTAAGAGATGATTTACCTGCATTTTGTTTTGATGTTTCATCATTTAATATACTTTGTAAAATTTCTGCTAATACAATTCTATCGTTACTTATATCGGTATCATATCGTAAACCATTTTTGCGTCAATTCTTTAATAGTGAGATGGGTTATATTGATTTCTAATTCAAAAAAAAAACATGTAAAAAAATTATGCAAATGGGTTTCGATCTATTATTACATACTTGATTTATGAGATAAATGGCGTGTTCCAATTAGAAGTTGGAATTGAGTGATTTGAAATTTGCGGATTAGGCTTTTTAAGAGGTCGTTTTTCAAATTGTGCTGTGGGAGAAAATAATAAAAAAGACAAAGTTGGTGAATATGCAAATATTATTTTGAGCATGTAAACTAAAATTTATCTTTAAAATTAAAAATTATTTGTATTTTAACAAAAAAAATTACAAGTTTTGTAAATTTTTTCAATATTCCTTTAAATTTGACGCTTATAATAAAGTAAATTTCACCTTTTCAGTCATTTTTAATAACTTACATATAAACTTCAAAACAAATTTAACAATATTATACATATACATACGCTTAATGTTTCACATAAAAAACTTTTGAAAAGAACCAATATTGACTGAAGGATCTCTACTTAAAGGAGTTATTTTTGTAAAATTAGTGTCTTTCGAAGTTCATGTCATATTTTTAGCATATGGGAAGTTTGCTAGGAAAATGGGATTCTGAGAATTTTTTGACTAAAATTTCATACTTATTGCATTTTATTCAAAATCAATATGCAATAAAAATTAAAAAATTCTCAAAATCCCATTTTCTAGCAAACCTCCCATATTATATATTTGTTTTGTCTTTTCAAATTGTAAAAGTCAGCTAATATATGTAGTATAAGAATTTTAATTAGTGGTTGAAAATGTTCAGTAACTATTATGAAGAAAAGAAAATATAATGTATATACATAATTTAATCCTGATCTAAATAAACAGAACTGTTATACAACATGTTTTCTTTTTACTCAACCTGATATTATATTACAAAAGATACATCTATAAAGGTAAGTTACTTAAAATTCTAATGTTCCAATATAACTAAAAAAATTACTTAACATTTAAATTATAAAAGTAATAGGATATATATGCATGTTTTATCCAATCTTTTAACTATATTGAGTCCTTTTAGGTAGAGAAGTAAGCAGTACTTACATTTTTACTACAATTCTTAATTATTTAAAAAAGTTATACTGTATATATTAGATTCAATTAATCTAACAAAAATCTGACAGTTTTTAGAATATTCAGAATATTCAGAGTGTTTATAAATTTGAACTTTCATATAAGATAGAAGTCTTTGCAATTAAACAGTATCAGTCTTATTGTTGGATTCTTGCAAACATTTTAAAAGAATTTAAAGATATTTAAAAATAAATTTCAGAGTTACAATTAAGCCAATTATATTCTTTTATATGATTTTATATACTAGTCGAATAATCCATTTCATCACTTTTTTAAAGTGCTGAATATTGGCTGAAATATAATCTAATTTTTGCTGATTTTTTTAGTTATAGTTGAAGTTGCACATTTTTATGTTATATAAAAACCATTTGAAATTAATAATTGGTAATTATTTGATATATCACTAGGCAAAATAATATAATTCGTTACATTTTAAAGTGCTGAAAGTTTACCAAAATATAGTTTAATACTGCCAATCATTGCCAAAAATCAGCATTTTAAATAAATAGAAAATCGAATACCAATTAGCATTAATGTTAAAAATTGGTCAAAATTTAGCATAAATTAGCTTAAAATTGGTCAATAATTAGCAAAAATCAATTAAGTAACTATTTATAAAATTGAAACTAATATAACTTATTTTTTGTTTATTTATGATTTATAATTTTATTTTATTATTACATAATAAATTACTCAAAAAATATATATATTGTATTATATTTTATTTAAAAAAGATACATTTGATTTTTTAAAGATAAGAAAAAATAAAGAATCAGTTAGAAAATCCACTAAAAACCATTTATTTCTAAAGAAAGTAAATAAAATAAAGAAAACAATTAAAATATTACTTCTAAAAGGTTTACCTTAATGTATTCCTAAAAAAAGTAAAGAAAAAATAAAGAAAATAGTTAGAAAACCACTAAAATATTACCTCTGAAAAGCTTACCTTAATGTATTCCTAAAGAAAGTAAAGAAAAAATAAAGAAAACAATTAGAAAACCATCAAAATATCACTTCTGAAAGGCTTACCTTAATGTATTTCTAAAAAAGTAAAGACAAATAAAGAAAACAGTTAGAAAACTTATTAAAAACCACCTCTGAAAGGCTAATCTGCTAATCTTAATGTATTTCTAAAAAAAAATAAAGAAAAATAAAGAACCCAGTTAGAAAACCACTAAAAACCACCTGCAAAAGGCTTACCTTAATATATTCTTAAAAAAGTAAAGAAAAATAGTTAGAAAACTCATTAAAAATCACTTGCAAAAGGCTTATCTTAATGTATTCCTAAAAAAGTAAAGAAAAAATAAAGAAAACACTAAAAAATTACTTCCAAAAGGCTTACCTTAATGTATTCCATGTATTCCTAAATAAAGTAAAGAAAAAATAAAGAAAAAAAGGTTAAAAACTATTCAAAAGTATTCTCTGAAAGGCTTACCCTAGATTTGAAAAGAGAATTTTCTAAAAAAATCAAAGAAAAACAAAGAAAAAGGATTAAAAACCATTCAAAAGTCGCTTTTGAAAGGCTTACCTTAGTTTTGAAAAGAGAAATTTCCTAAAAAAAACAAAGAAAGATAAAGAAAAAAGAGTTAAAAACCATCTAAAAGTTACTACTTACAATTTGCTTATCTTAATTTCTAAAATAAGAATTTCCTAAAAACAAGAAAAAAGAAAGAAAAATGCTACAAAAGTCTTTTCCGATTTGCTTACCTTAATTCCAAAATAAGAATTTCTTAAAGAAAACAAGAAAAAAGAAAGGAAAAATTAAATTTCTGCCCAAAAATCGCCTCATTAAAAAAAAAAAAAGATAAAAATAAATTTTTTCAGAATATTTTAAAAGTTTATTAGTGTAAACTAAACTAAAATTTCAATTAATCTGAAATTTAGATATTATTTATACTATTTATCATAAATGCTACAAATGGATGATTTTGCATCATTCGATTACAAAATCAACGATAATTTGATCATTTCTTATGAACAATGACAAAATCGTTTAAAAGGAATGATAATTCGATTGTTTCTTACGAACGATGACAAAATCGTACAAAAGGAATGATAATTTGATCATTCCTTAAGAACAATATAAAAAATCATTTGAAAGGAATGATAATTTGATCGTTCCTTTTGAATAATATAAAAAATCACATTCTTTAAAAATAATATAAAAAATTATTCGAAAGGAACGATAGTTTAATCGTTCCTTACAAATGATAGCAAAATTATTTGAAAGGAACTATAATTTAATCATTCCTTATGAACGATGGCAAAATAGTTTGAAAGGAATGATAATTTGATCATTCCTTATGAACAATGACAAAATCATTTAAAAGGAATGATAGTTTAATCATTTCTTATAAATGATGATAAAATCATTCGAAAGAAATGATAGTTTAATCATTCCAAAGAATGATGAAAAAAATTGTTCTAAAGAAACAATGATGTATCGTTCCAAAAGAATAATCAAAAAATCATCATTCTTTCAAAATGATGATAAATCATTTTAAAAAAACAATAAAAAATCATTCTTTTAGAATGATAATTTAATTATTCTAAAATAACAATAAAAAAATTATTGTTCTTTCAGAATGATATCAAATATCGTTCTTTAAAATGATGATACATCATTCCTTTAGGAACGATTTCTATCATTTCTTTGGGAATGATAGTTTGTTTTTTTAGGGATGATTTATATCGACTCTTTGGAAATGATAGTTCATTTCTTTAGGGATGAATGTATCATCTCTTTAAGAATAAGTGTATTGTTTTTTTTAAGATGATTTCTATCGTTTCATTAGAAATGATAGTTTATTTCTTTAGGGACAAATGTATTGTTTCTTTTAAGATGATTTCTACTGTCTCTTTAAGAACAAATGTATTATCTCTTTAAAAATGATAGTTCGTTCCTTTGAGACAATTTCTATCGTCTCATTATAGACGAATATATCGTTCCTTTTGAAATGATTTTTATTGTCTCTTTGGAGGAAGTTTTTATAATTTTTGCAAAAATTGGCTCAACAGATTTTGATTAGTGAGATACAGTCAATTTGTTGCCAAATCTTAAGTCTAACTGAAATTTTGCTAAATATTATAACCGAAAGGTCTTAATGCTGAAATAATGCTAAATTATGTATGATGTAACAAATTACTATCGATTTTTGTAACTTAAGCCAAATTTTTTCTGAATCATATGACTGAATCAGCTGAATATTTACCAAAAGATCTAATGCTGAAATAATGCTAAATTATGTGTGATGTAATAAATGACTATCGATTTTTGTAACTTAAACTTAATTTTTGCCAAATCATATGATTGAATCAGCTGAATATTTATTGAAAGGTATTAGTGCTGAAAGAAATGATTTTAACTAGTGCTAAGGTATGCTACAAATTAGAACCTTTGTTGTTATTTTTTGGATTTTTACTAATTTTTTTTGTTTTAATAGAAATAGATTTTTTTGCTATTGGTTAAGATAAGTCTATAAATTAAGATAGTTGTTTTTTGGATTTTTACTAATTTTTTTTCTTTTTTAATAAAAGTTGATTTTTTTATTATTAGTAAAGGTAAGTCTACAAATCGGGATAGTGGTTTTAGGATTTTTACTAATTTTTTATCTTTTTTAATTAAAATTAACTTTTCTTGCTATTGGTTAAGACAAGTTTACAAATCAGAATGGTGGTTTTTCAGATTTCAACTAATTTTTCTTTTTAATAGGGATGAATTTTTCTTATTTATTAGTTAAGGTAAGTTTACATATCAGGACTTTTTTGGTGATGTTTTTTCAGATTTTACTAATTTTTTTCTTTTTTTAATAGAAGTTAACTTTTTTTCTTATCATATATATTAAATAATTAAATTTAATAAATTTGTAACAATCGAAAGCTTTATTATTAATAAATATACTTTCTTATAATTAAATGTATTATATTAATGCAATTTGTATCAATAATAAAATTCTTTTTATTGTAATTAATAGGATTACTTACTTGTATAAAATAAACAATTATAATATTACCTGTATTATAAAAATTTGATAAAATGTTATCTATCAAAATATGCTATTTATATAATATTAATTTAATAGGTTATAATAAGAATATTCCAAAAAAACTCTTTTTGCTAATCCATTAAACCATGCATAAGCAAGATAAAAAATTTAACAACAACCCAGGAAAGAAAGCTCAACACAGCTATTCAGGCTCACTAGAAAACAAAAAAGTAATAAAGAAACAACAAATTGATATATGTGACTATTTTGTTCTACTAGAAAATAAAAAAAACTGATAAATAAACAACTAAAGAAAATGAAATGAAAGTTGACCTGGCTCCTTCAACTTCGCAAGAAAAGGATAAATAATCTAAAATAGCTTTCACATTAGATGAAAAATATAGTGAATATGAAAGCTTCGACACTTCAAAAAATCTCTTAGGCTCTAAAAACGATAGTAACAATAATATTATTACTTTTGATAGAGAGGATGATGCTTCTCTTTTCTTTGTCTATTACATCGCTGAAAAATTTCTTTCAGATTGGCCAAACAAAGAAAAATTAATACAGCCAATGAGATCTTTAATGGACTACACCTAACCTTATTCCTTGATATATTAATGTGATCTCACTTTGAAAATAAACAAATAAAGATCGTTCAAATTGGATTTTTTACACATACTAATTATAATAAGGCAATCTTGATAAAGATTACCCAATTAGACAATGAACCATTTCTTTCTCTGATCATAACAAATATTACAAAATTTACCTCTGAATTATCAATCAAATTGATTGAGATCCCGATATTAATTTCAATTCAGAATATCAAATCATCTTTTGCCTTTTTTGGTAAAATTACCAAATGTATTATGATCACAAAAAATCTATGGCAACAGGTCACAATTACTTATGAAGAAGGAACGGATATGACACAATTAGATAACATTTATGGATACTTTGTCTTTAAAGATATGATTAGGGTTTACCGCTGTATTTTAGCCAAAACGTCATCAGAGAAAAGTCCAAATATTCCCTCAAATTGACCAATTTTCCTATTGATACTAATGGTTGACAATTAATACCTTTCAAATGTGCTGTCAAGGCCATAGCTTTTGTTATTCTGAAATCAAAAGCCAATTATCGAAATCTTCAATATGCTTTATTCTATTTTTATAACAAGGATGACTTCAAAGCTATGCAAAATGAAAACACCATTTATCTTGATTGCAAAAGACTTATATGAACTGAACCTAATAGTAAACTCTGCTTTATCTGTCCTGTACTAGAAAATCGCTCAGACAATTGCAGAAAAGCCTGAAGAAATCCAAAAGATCACCAAACACAAATTCTATACCAATAAAATCAGCTTGCTTAGTTTAGGAATTATATTGCATTACCTAAATAGGATCCTGAACTATACAATAGAACTCACAAATGTAGTATGAACACGTAATTAAAATTATATTGCATAATATAACTCGGTCAATATTAATACTAGAAAGATAAAATTACTACCATTAGATTCCTTTCAGTTAGACGAATCCAACAGTATAAATTTATTAAAATTGAATCACTGGTTATTGAGATAATGGGGTATGTAGGATAAGTAAATTTGTAAAAATAAGCAACTTTTGGCAAAGTTTACATATAAACTTTATGCAAACTCAAATGTGAGTTATATTAGTATAGTTCGGGTCTTACCTAAACCTGTAACTAAATCAATTATTTTTGCTCATGTGACTGGTAATAAGGGCAAGGATAAATAATTCATTAGATTCAAACATCTATGCATCTGATAATTTGGCGGATAAATTTGAAGTATTATATCCAACTCCGCAAGGATATAAATATCCCTTCAAAAAACCAAATGAATTCACCCAACCGATAAATTAGATCAAATAATGGCAAAGCTTGATACACTTACTGGTTAACTCAGCTAATTACATGATAACCTCAATTTTACCAATGATAGGATCAATTCAATAGAAGTATTCTTAAACGATTGTTCCACTTTTCCTAACAGGTTGCAATTCTCAATTCCTGTTAAATTGGTAAAATTATGGATGATAGTAATCCCAGGTATCAATGTTTCTAAATTAATTGTTATTACTTATAAGTTTGATATAACTACTTTAAAAGAAGAAAATCATCATCTCAAATGCAATTTGCAAGACAATGCTAAGAAACTGAATGAGACCTTAAAAGCAGTTGACATAATGCATCAAATGATAATATCAGCTGAATATTTACACAAGAGTAGAAGAATTCAGATTGATATCCTAAATAAACTTAAAGATTTTATACCAACAACTCAAGAGGAGTTCTCACCTTACCCTCATTGTAATCATGATTAGTTAAAATTATAACAATAGTATCCCACATTCTTTATTATTACTATCTTTATTATCTATTATTAATATCAATTCTCATAACATCATTTCCTTAAAATGATCCAACAAAACAACAACTCCTCATGAATATGTATAAACAGCATAAATGTGATATCATTGCATTACAAGACCTTAAATTCAAAAATCAATAATCAACCTTTACTTTTAAAAATAATTTATATAATGATTATCATGCTATATTTAATATTCTTTAAGATCCTAATGGACATTTGACAGGTATTGGTATCATTTTTAAAAAAACATTTGCTGATCATATTTTCTATCATAAGGGCTTTTAGGATTGTATTATGTTCATTGATCTTTAATTACCAAACAAATATTGTATTTGTATTATTAATACATATATCATCCCTTTAGATAACAAATTAAGAAAATCTTATATCATAAGATAATTAGTCTTTTCAAGTAAGCAAATAAAAAGTCTATACAAGTTATCTTGACTGGTGATCTAAACGCTGAAATTAATAATGCACTTAATATAAAACAGAATATTGATAATAATATTATAAAAACTAAAGTAAATTATTTTGCTAAGTGATTTTTTATAGATAATTTTTACCAGTCAGAAGGGTGGTTAGGTGGATTTAAAAAATGACATAGAATACATTAATTTAAGAAGCAAGGTGAAGCTTCAAGTGCACCTTCTGCTGAATCATTAGAAAATGCTACCTTGACTTACAACAATTTCTTAAACCTTATAATCCTGAAAACATCTGGAATAGAAACGAAACTGATCTTTTTTGAAAAATGGAACCTTCTAAAGTTTTGGCACGTGATTCTATATCTGGTCATAAAAAAAAAATCCTAGATTACTATATTTTATGCAACAAATGTAGCTGGAACTGAAAAAATGAAGCTTACCTTTATTCATAAATATAAAACCCCTTATGTTATAAGAAATCTTAATTACAAAAACCTTTCTGTTTATTATTTTTGGAATAAGAAATCTTGAATGCAAGTTAGTATTTTTAATGAGATTCTTTAATACTTAATGAATAAATGAAATAAAAAAAGCATAAAATTGTTTTTTTACTTAATAATACACCATTGCATATTATTTTAGATGAAACTCGAAAAAAATTAAATGAAATTTTTTTCACCAAATACTATCAATGCACTTCAATCATGTGATGCAGGAATCATTTATTCATTTAAATGTCATTACAAACGTCTTTTTGTTCAAAATCAAATTGATGTATATGATAATTTTTAAGAAGGTTTTGTGAATGAGCTTGCAGGTTATAGTATTCTTGATGCTTTACAAAATTCAGCTGAAGCATGATCTATGGTATTATCTCAAACAATTTCAAACTGCTAGTGAAAAATAGGAATTCTTTCACCAAATAATGAAACTGAAGATATGCTTGATGATAATTTAATTTTAAAAGAGTATGTATTAACTATTAGCATTAATATTAAATGCAAATTAATTTTTTTTAATAAATTTTTCTTTTAGTTTTAATGAAGATAATGAGGAACTTGAGAGATTAATTGCCCTTCTTTCAGAAAGTGATCTTAATGCATGAGAATATATTCATATTGATGATGAAATAGCAGAAGGTGGGCTTACTAATGATGAAATAGTTGATACTGTATTAAACTTGAATAAGAAAGAGGAATCTATAGCAGATAAAATTGAATTTACACCAGTATTGGAAAAAGCTAGTCCAGAAGAAGCAAAAAAAGCTATGGATAAAATTACAAGATTTTTATATGAGCAAGAGAAGGAATTTGGTGATGAATTAAAAAATTTAAAAAGGTTAGATAAATGAATTAAAGTTTTAGTTGTAAATAATCTTAAACAAGTCAATATTCAAGATTATTTTAATAATAATATGTAATATAATTAAAAAGTTTTAAATAGCTTTAATTTTGATTAATATAATATAGTAATAATACAATGGTAATAAAGAGATTTTATTTTTTTCGAGTTCGCCAAAAAATTTAAATGATCACGTACCTGTAATTTTATTGGTTAACAGTTTGTTTATACCAAACAGTTCGGTATATATAACATATGTATATTATAATAATCAATAAAATCTTTTTACTATATAAAAAATTTTTTCGCGCATTTTTAGTAATTTTAAAATGCAACATTATTACATTTAAACACTTTGTTGCTATCTAGGTTATATTTAATAAATACACAACTGCATAAAAATAAATAGATATTAAAAAAGATGAAAAATGAAAATAAAAATGAAAAGAAGATAAACAACTTGTAAGTTTTACTTGGATATGCTTCAACTTGAATAATGACCTTTTTATTTAATTACTCAGCCTTGAAAACAAAATGATTACAAAATTGACAGTGAGCCCAGATCTTGCGAACTGTTTTTGAATTGATTTTTCTATTAAAACGATGAAACATAACAGATCCATTAAAAGGAGGTATAATAATAATATTAAAGTTTAAAAGAAACCACAAGGCAACTTTCTTATAACATTCATTAATAAGGTTTTGGATGTGAAGCCGTAAATGAGCCTGAGCTCTTTTTATTGAATTACTCTTTTTAGGAGAAACACGAATAGTTCTACAAAATATAAATAACTAAATATCTTATAAAAAATAAAAAAATATATAAAAAAATAATATACCGAGAAATAGGATCATCCAGGGATAAAAACGAATGGGCTATATTCTAAATACCAAACCAACCCCATATACCCAAACAAATCTAATAATTTAATTTTTTGTTAAATATCAACTTTGAAATAAATTTGGCCAATTATGATTTTTTTTTGATGATGTTTATAATGCAATGGGAAGAGAAGAAGATTTTATTTTTATAACGATATTTTATTATGAAAAAGATAGATATAAAACTTAAGTGATTCACGACAATATTGAGAACAAATAGTAATCATTTACTGATTATCCTATTTGAATAAACATAGTAAAAAATTATCAAATGCTTACTATTGGTAACAATACTTGTACTGTATTATATTTATATGCTATCAAATATTCTTTTTATGTTTAACCTTTTTTCTTTGAAAATGAAGATGATGTTTTTTATTTTTAAATTCATTATTTTGACAGACAACTTTGAATATAGTATGGTCAAGCACTTCATATAAGCAGTCCTTCATGAAATACCATTCACGAGTATGTGAAATCTTGAGATTAAGAAGAGATCGAAACCAAAATGTTGAGTTGATGGTTGAAATTTGCAACAACTATGTTATAAACAAGCCTGTACATTATATATAAAGTTAGAAATTACAATGTCTTTAAAAGAAACAATAATGAAAACAAAATACCTAGCACAACCAATCCATTGTTTCAACAATGTTTTCTGTGAGGAATTCGGGTACACTCTGATCTTTAGAGAAGAGTCAGATCGGCCTTCTAGTTGACTTCAATGGCTTCTTGCATTTTCTGTTGCTGTTCTTTTCGTTCTTGTCAATATCTACATAGTAAGTATTGGTTAGCCAATATTATTAGATAAATAAAGAATAAATAAATAACTCTAAACAAACCTTGCTGACCATTTTCCTTGCATCTGACAGACAAAGACAATGTTAATGGCAAGGATATCTTGACAGAGTTCAGTTTTGTCATTGGAAGAGCCATTTTGCGAGAGAATCAAGAGTCTTACACCATTGAGTTTAAGAATGTATTCGATGAGATCAGATGCGAATCGACATAGTCGGCAACCACAACTTCTGCAACCATTCCGCGACTTGCTTGTTCCTGTATGGTTTGCAAGCCGCGTCTCTTGAAGTTAATGCCACTTCCAATGTCTGAGATTAGTTCATATTGAGGACATTTGGTGAGAAGGAATTGTTGTTGCCACTTAAGACCTTCCTTCTGTTTTGCACTTTAAACTCGTGCGTAAATGTAACTTTTTTGCATGATAAGGAGGTGGTGGTGGTGATAGTGGTGGAACCCACAATATTGGAGACATCATAACACCTGGTGAACCAAATGCTGTTATTTTACTATTGCGGTGCCAGCGACGAAGTGTACACGAGGAAACACCAAGGATGGAAGAAGCCTGAGTGGCAGTAACGAACATTAAATGGAAAAAAAAACAAATATTTTGCGGAAGGTCACTAGAAATTTAAGTATTACGAATGAATATTCAGGATTAATCAGAGAATTTATTAGTTATTAAGCATGGTGTCACAACGGTCAAATTATAATTATCCATTTTTTTTTGCAATTTTTGATTACGTATAATGACTATATTAAATTGATTTCTTTGTATGAAAATTGTAAGTTAATATATATACATATACAACTAAAGGAAAAAAAAATGAAATCTAAAGGTTAAATCGAAAGCAAAAAATCTTAGATTTTTGCCCAAATACATTGAAATAAATAGTTTTTGATAATGCTAATTAAATTGTTTTGTCTTTCACAAAAAAAAAAAAAAAAAAAAAAATGCTTCTACGTGAAAATAAAATAAAAACTTACAAAAAAAATATATTTTTTTCTTTTTTTCCTTTTCCTTTTTTTTTCTTTTTTGACGAGAAAATCATTATTTTTTAATTTTTCAATTTCATTCACCATCATTTCGAACCAAACCAACGAGTTCCTTTGTGAATTTAGCTATTTCAAATGAAGCACTCGCTAATCGTTGTTTTGAAACCTTATTTGACAGAAAATCTCGACTATCTCTAGTTATTAAGTCTTTCATTTCTTCTAATTTATTAACATTCTCATCCAATTCTTTTAATATAACATTGCTCCTTTCCTTATATAATTCTACGGCGGGGGATTTAAATGAATCTTGACACTCTTGGATAACCTTCACCACTATGTTTGTAATCATGTCAATATTGTTAGTAAGATCGCTACCTTCGCAATATTCACTTCGAATGGTTTTTAAGAGACTATGAATTGCTTGCACAATTTCCTCTGTTTGATCTTCCAAATAACCCTTTATTAAAGTATAAATAATTTATAATCAAGAAGATTGGTAAAAATTAATTGATAACTTTTCAGTTAAAATAATATTTGATTTACCTTTAACTGATCAATACTCATTGCGTCACTTCCATTATCTACAGAATTTATTTCATCCTGTAGTCCATTATTATTTATGGGCATAGGTTCCGTTGGAACATTAAACCCGGCGCTAGGTTTACCTTCACGTCTAAGCTTAACCAATTTTACCAAATCAACGAGCGCTGCGGTCAAATGGCTTGCTGCGGCATCCAATAAGCTAACAGGTGATACTCCATACCCGGTTGCATGATTTTTGGCGGCTGTCATAAGATTTGTAAGCGTTGATGAAAGCTTTGATTTACAAGAATAAACGCTAGATTTATCCTCTGGTTTCATTGATGCACCTTTACTTTGTTCGTAAGATTCAACTTCTTCGGTAATACTTTTACTAACGATAACTATTGACTTCATAGCCAAAAGAACATTTGTTGGTGCATCAGATCTTTTTTTTTAAAAAAAAAATTGTTAATACTTTAATATTAAAAAAAAAAAATTTGATATCAACAAAATATATGTCACCTTCCAGCTCTCAACAAATCATCTATTGCAACTTGATAATTGATAATTTTTGATTCGTCGATTGCACCACCTGATGTTGGAGCTAATGAGTTGTTTGCTAAAATATCAACTTTTGGTGCCTCTTTAAAGAAAGATGATGTTGCTACATAATAATAATAATAATCATAATTTATTATTATTTTGATTAATAATTTTATTTCATCAACTAGTTAACAAAATTTAACAAAACATTCATTTTTTAATACCTTTCAAATTTCTTAATTCGGTCCTCGTCTTATCATATTTATTCTTCCATTCATTTAATTCTATTGTCAAATCTTTGATTTTTATTGCATCCTTTTCTTTATCAGCGTATAATTCATCATTCCGCTTTGAAAGCTCTTTAATTTCCTCTAATAACCCGGTTGCTTCCTTTTGAACGTCATTAGCAACCTACAAATAGGTAATACAATATTAGTTTCGCATGTTACAATTGACTAGATGTTTTAAAAAAATATTTCGAACCTCTTGCTGTTGATGATGATCCTCGGTTAATTTATCAAATTCTCGTTCTAATTCCGACATCTTCGATGTTTGCTTCTTGTTAATCTGTTTTTGTTCATCAAGTTTCCTCTGAAGTTCAATTATTTTAGCACTATCATTACCAGAACTAACACTTGTTGTATTCTTTGTCTAATTAATCGTTATAAAAAAAAGGAAATTAATTTTTTAAAAAAAAAGAAACTCCATATAATTTAACAAATCGAAAATATTCAAAAACTAAATTTACCGAGAGATCAATTTCCAATTCTTTTATTCGTTTCTGAAGAGTAGCTACTTGTAACTCGTACTCTGTCTTAACCTTTTCAACCTCCGCATAAGACTATTTCCCATGAAAAAAAAATTTAGATGAAAATTTAAATAATAATCTATTAAATATCATAGATGCATACCGCTGATTGTCCAAAAGATGATCCCTGAGGTATTTTTGGTGAGGAATTCGCACTTCCATTTGGTTTCTTATAATCAATCATATCACCCAAATCAGCCATCAAACTGTCAATGGAAGCAAAATTGACGGTATCTGCTTTATTACTTTTCTGACTATTAACGGTATCTCTATTTTGCGTATTTTTACTTGACACGCTGCTTACACTACTGACACTCATTCCGTTTGCATAACGACGTCCAAAATCCGAAACGGATGAAGCGGCGGAAGATTGAGTGCGACTACGAGGAGATCGTGGAGAACCATACTCTGGTGGCATACCATCAGGTACTGGAGGATAATTATTATTGTTGTTGTTTCCGTTGCTGTTGTAGTTATTGTTATTGTTGGAATTTGTTGAGGAAGGTTTTTGACTGGTACTATCTGAATTATTATTGACATTTGGTGTTTCTGGTCGACTATTTGGTTTTTGGATATGAAAACCTGAAATAGTTTCTTGCTTTAAAGTACTAATTTCTGGTACGATATTGTTGGCCTTTGATGCTTGAGATTTGACTTCATCTGATGATACTTTCGTTTGTTGTGGATTTTGTTTGGGGGATGAATTGTTTGTTGTTGGGAACTACTCATAATCAGAATAATGGGTATGCTTGAGTAAATCAAACAATCAATAAAATCGAACCACATGAATTAAGAAATTGCTTACTATCATATCTTTAAGCTCGGGGTATCGGCGCTCTAATTCATAATAAACGTCGCTTGCTAAATCTTTAAATCGACTCGGAGGTAATGTTGCCAATTTTTGCCGTGCTTGATTTCTCTTTGGATGAAACTCATCTTTAACAGGTAGAAATGGAACTAAACACAATTAAACAAAGTGTGAAAGATGTTAATGCTAAATTTAGGATATTAATCATTGCGAATTGAATGTTTTATAATACCCTCATTTATATCCATTAGTCGTCGGGTCAACTCGTCATATACGTCAGTGGAAAGTTCTTGAAATTGTTGTTTTGTAAGTCTTGTTAACTTCTCCCTGGCATTCGTTCTTGAACCGTTTGCTTGCTCTAAAATGAATTATAGAAAAGAGGCTTTTAGCTTGAATTCAAAGTGAATCAAAACAAACGCACTTTATATGTGGTGTATACTTGAGGATCGTCTTCAAGATTTGACGACAACGAGTAACGAGGATTTGAATTGAATATTTAAAATTCTTGCAAATCTAAGTTGCAAGTATGACGTACCCCGGGCAAGATGTTTTGCAAGAAACTTCTTCAAAGCCTCATAATGAGTGATGGCGATCTCCATTGAATCCATTGTATAGTGATTCGGTTGAAAACTCTGAAATAAAGCAAAAAGCTATAAGGTGTAGAGAGTAGAGAACCCGTCAACGGGCGGAAAAGCAACTTGTATAGAAGGAGTGAGTGTAGGTGTTGTGTTAGTTTACAATAAGCAAGTTTGTTTGGCATAAAAACCTTAACACAGTATTATACCTTCAGGATCGTGTTACCGATTATTTCCAAATAAAGCGTTGTACTGAAAAAGGGAAAGCGAATACATTTTTGAACATTTTTTTTTTTTTTTAAAACTGTATTAAAAAATCTCGGTTGAAAATTAATGGAGTTAACTTTAATAGGAGATTAATATTTATTAACAAACAGAAAACGGGAACCTTTACTTTTTTTTTCTATTGGTGTGATCGACTAATACATTTCGGCTTTTAATCTTTTAATGTTCATCCTTGTTTCACTTTTTTTTTTTTTTTTTTTTTTTGGTCAGTGATTTTAATTCCTTCTTTTTTTCTCTTTTTTTTTTTTTTTTAATATTTTTCTAATTTTTTTAATATTTTATTTTTTTTTTTGTTTTTTGTTTTATTAAATATTTAATTTATGTGGTTAGTAATTGTTTTTATTAGATTTTCATTATATTACACCAGAAATAGTCAAATGTATCAGTCTAAACACGTCAAATTTTTTTGGAAATTCGTAAATATTTGTAGCACGCGATTATAATAGAATACAGTATCTATTCTGGTATAGCGTGATGTCATTAGTTCTTTGTAAGTTTTGAAATTTTTTTTTTACCTTTTATAAATTTCAAAAAGGTTTCATTTTAAAAAAATCAATCCAATCAAACATTTATAAATTAAAATTAAAAATTAATAGCTTAAAATAATTTCTCAAATTTGTTACCATACAAACAAAAGCAATTGCCACCAAATCAAATTAAAATGAAATCAATTTTTTTTTTTAAAGTAAATATAAATAAATATTTATTTACAATGCATAAATCATCGTCATTGAGAATTTCAAGATCCTTACCTGTTTTTAAAACAAAAAAAAACTAAGAATGATTCAGAAAAAATAAAAAAAAATAACATGATACATCGATACGGAATATGGAAGGAACTGACCAAACAACGACTTTTATTGGTGCAATTCTTTTTATTATGGATATCGATTGACGCTTCCAGACCCTAACATTTTTTGAGTCTCTCCTAAAAAGAAAAAAAACTTCTGGAGGCAACAACATATGGACAATAGATAGGAGGGAAACTGCTGGGCAAATCAATTTTACTTTTTATATGCCAAATATGATTTCAGACCAAAAAAATGCGACGGAATTAGTATCTACTTTTTCTGGCATAAGGTTCCCATATGATAATGTCACATTTTCTTTACTCATATGTGTAGATTTTTGACCACACCTAAATTACAAGGTCCTATATTTCCCCAATTTCATTTTACTTTATAAACAGTCCCTTGTTAAAATTTAACATGTGGAATCCAATTCCAATAATTTGCTAAAAGAACATCAATTCTTAAAAAATTTCTTTTCCATTCAACAAACAATGATATCGAACGATTACACTAATCACATGCCCTTTACTAGGATCAACTATAATTGGTGTACAACGTTTGATAGACCATCAAAAATTCAAAGAAATTGGTATAATAGTTTTATATTCACATTTAGATAGATTGATATTAAAAAAAAAAAAACACGAAATCCCTTGATATTTCAAAAATTTATGATTTTCAATCTTAAAATATACAAATGGATATAGGAGCGTAATCACATTACGGATCATATGATTTACTATTTTATAAGTTGCAATTAATTGCTCAATATTTACTGATTAAATAAGGTTCTTTGCCTAAAATTTCACTCTTGCGATTAAGGAGGTGGGGTGGGTTTCGATAGATAAGGAACGTACGAGTGCTTAAAATAAAGAACAAATTAGTAACTTAATTCCGATGAATGATTAAGTTGAAAAATAAAAAGTTCTTTTAAAAAAAAAATTTATCTTTTAAAGAGGTGAGAATCCTTACTATAAATATCTATCTCTTTTAATTGGAGATTTTAGAATTAACATTCGATTACGGTTTAGATTTTATGACGCAGTAATTTTTGATCATAATTGAATGCCCCCCCCCAAAAAATTTCACCAAAAAAGTATTCACAAATCTTATCATTTTATGATTACATAAAATAAGGCTGATCAAATACTTTTAAATCTTTTACATGTATTAATCGCGCGTAAAACATTTCTAATTAGATATTACATCGTCGGTTTTTCGGAAAAGTAATTTCATTTTGATTGTTCACTCTAGTTTTGAAATACAACCTTTGTTGTGACTGAAATTGATTTTCGTCTTGAGATCTGAATTCCAAATTCAGTTACCAATTTCAGAGGTTATCTGAAATTGGAATATCCGAAATGAATTTCAGTCATTGTTTAAATATGCTAAAAAATTTTTTATCTTTATTTAAAAAAATAAAAAAAAAAATCGTGATTAATTGGGAATTATGGTTCTAGAAATCAGAAAATCAATATCTTCGTCGAATGAGACGAACATTATAATTTTTTACGATCAAGTTTTATGTTTAATTAATGATTCAAGATAATTAAAATAAATATAATGTTGCTTTCTCATGTATTAAATTGATTCTTCGTCAATAAACAAATGTGACCTTTATCATGAAAATCTTGGTGTCGTTTTATTTGTTTGTTCATTCACGATCGGGTCGTTAGTTTAACAAACAATAATATTTTATTTTATTATGAATATATTGGGCAGCGATATTTTATTTATTACCGTTCATATTAAATGAAGTACTTTATCGACGGAAAAAAAACATAAAAACATTTTATCTTTTAGAAATCGACAGCAAATTTATTTACGCCGCAGCAAAATGAAACCTTACTATAAAAAGATCCACAAACCACTACTCTTTCTTATTCATTAAAAATGGGTAAGGTTTGATTGATTATTAAAATTGACTATTTATAATTATTCAATTTTTATTATTTTTATTATTTTAAACCAGGAGAAATACCAAGAGGAACTTGTCCAGATTGTAATAAACCAAATACAAGTTACGACTGGTGTAAAGAATGTTCTACTAAACGGTTTCAAGAAGATTTCGCTAATTGGACTAGTGGCAATGAAGCTATTGACAAATTTATTCAAGAGACTCAAATTAATGCTGAAAATAATTATAGACTTTTACAATGGATTCCTTTTAATAAGCTCAAAAATGTTGAATTTGTCGACAAAGGGGGTTTTGGTAGTGTATACAAAGCCGTTTGGCTTGAAGGATATATCGTCGGTTGGTCTAGCGATAAAAATAGATGGGTTAAAGCAAATGATGATAATGATGAAAAGAAGGGACTTGAAGTTGCTCTTAAAAGCCTTGATGAATCAAATTTTAATGATGATGAATTTTTAAACGAGGTATGGCCTTAACACTTTATCCGGTTATAAATAAAATTTATTTCAAACTTTTCAAACTAATTGTTAATTAAATATAGTGGAAGTATCATCAAAAATGTGATCAATTACACGTCGTTAAATTATATGGATTTACTCAAGATCCTAATACTTTGTCTTATATGATAATAATGGATTATATAAAAGAGGGTAGTCTGAGAAAAAACTTATCATTCATTATAGAATATAATTGGAGGTTTAAATTGCAATTCTTGGACCGTATTGTATCTGGACTCCACACAATACATGAACTAGATCTTGTTCATCGTGACTTTCATGATGGTAACATTTTATTTACCCATCATATTGTCATTAGTGATCTAGGATTATGTCAACCCGTAAAATCTTTAAATAAAGGTGTTCATGGTGTTTTACCATTTGTAGCACCCGAAGTTTTGAAAGGTAAACCTTATACTCAAGCTAGTGATATCTATAGTTTTTCCATGATTTTGTGGGAATTTGTATCTGGGATTACTCCATTTAATGACAGAGCACATGATCTTCAACTTTGCTTAAGCATTGTTAAAGGTGAACGTCCCCCAATTGTTGAAAATACTCCACAACCTTATATAGATTTGTTGAAAAGGTGTTGGGATGGGGATCCATTAAAAAGGCCAACTGCATTAGAAATATCAGATATTATCTCTGCTTGGTTACGAAACAAACCTATAGAATTTCGAAATTCAGATGCACAAAATGAACAAAGAATACAAATTAAACCTGAAATTGTTAAACCTCATCCACAAGTATATTATACAAGTCGTTATCTTGATTTTACCGAAAATTTAAATAAAATTTTGGATGATGATGACTTGCATCTAACAGGAATTCTTGATATTGGTAATTGTTATAATATTTATTTAAGTATTAAAGTAATTTCAAGATTTATATGATTTTTTAAATTATTTTAATTAACTAATTTAACCTTATAAATAGATGATGATCTGGAAGAAAATTAAAGACTATACCGATCAAAGGATTTACATCGTTGATATCGTTTCTTTATATTTGTTTAAAATATAATGAAAAAAAATTCAATGTATAAGATTTTTCAATTAGAAAAAAATTTGATTTAATAAGGTTTTTTTAAAATATTTTTAATAGTTTTATTTATACTATATATATAAAATATTTAAATAAAATAGTTAAAAATAATTATCAAAAAAAAAATATATTAAATTAGATAAGATAATATAGTCAAATAAAATCCCATAATTTATAATAATTTCAGCCAAAATAAAAGAAGTAAAAAATTATAACATATATAATACCTTTATATAATTACTATAAGCATAAAAGATATAATTACACTTTTTATTAATTTTAATAATTAATTTTATACTAATTTTTTATATTGATATTTATTTAAATTTATATTATATTGATAATTATGGATTTAGTATATGTAGTTGAATCCTTATATAGTAGCACTTCTTCAAACTAAAAAAAAATTATATAATTATAAAAAGCTATTTTAATGTGATTATAAAAGAGGATTTTTAATAGGGTTATTAATAATTACAGTATAACAAAAATGTATTTATAAGAGAGAAATGATTATATAAGAGTAAGATATTAATTATTTAATTTAAAATATAAAAAAATATATTTTTTATTATTTTAAGATATTATTTATTCATTTTATAATTATATTTTTTATTTTAGTTTTTTGTTAGATGCATCAGAAATAAAAAGCGATTTTGCAAGTTTCTCTTACCAAAGTACAAATATCTGGAGACTATATCAATATAGACTGTTAGCTGCTTACTGATCTTAGAAAAGTTCCTATTTTTCAAGTTTTTCCTCCTGTCTGAATGTATCCCCTATGACAAGGTTGGGAATTTTGTATATAATAGATAAAATTACCACTGTACTTGTATTGTACTTGTATTAATTTTTATATTAATTATTATAATATACTAGCTGTAATAATTATACTAATTATTGTACTAACACTATACTTCCAACCCTGCCTATAAATTCAGCCACATATAAAATTCTTATGAAAATCATCTAGTTTTATGTATCAGCTAATATCTAAACTGATAGTTTATATCTGTGTAATAAAACTTTAGTTTAATAGAAGATTTGTGATTTAACCATTAAGCTAGGAATGCTGATCCTATTTTTTATTTTATATTATTTAATAATTTTTTTATAGGTAAATAGATAAATTATAAGTATAATCAGCTAAACTGTATTATACAAAAGTAATTATAACCAATTATATTTTATTGTACAATAATTATACAAAATCAAAAAAAAGTATATAATGAAATGTGGTTGTTTATAATCACTTTCATACAATACAGTTCAGCTAATTGTACTGTATAGTTTATATGTATACTCATTTTTTATTTATAATTATTTTTATAATTAAATCTATTTATATCATATGAAAGGTGATCAGTAGAAAAGGGAGAAATCTGAAAATTTTAGTAATTTTAGTTATTAAACTAATTTTGTTCACATGATTATGATCATTGAAGTGAATTAATTAAAAAAATTTTGACCAAAATTTGGATTTCCCCCTTTTCTACTGACCGCCTTCTATATGATCTATAATTACATAATATAAAAATAAATTAAATAAATAAATTGAAAAATAAATTATACTCCTTCAATGCTGACCTTTGTTCAAGAAAATCAGGTTGTGAAGATATTATTTGTCATGCATAACAATCTAACTTTGTTAAATCGATTTCAGTATCTTTCTTAGAGCATTCTTTACATATTAAATTAATCTTCTTTTTGGATCAAAGATTATACTCTTCAAGCACTTTTTAATTCCCTTTGATTATTGTTTTAATTTTTGCACTGGATAATTGTCTGAAAATGTTATAAATTATATACACTTTTCTTTATGTTTATTTATATATACCAATCATCATAGATTTTAGGTTATGTTACTTTGGATCCTAAGTTTATATTTGTTGCAATCAATGCATTTTCAGCCATAATATTATAGTTGATTGACTGATCGAAACAAAAAACAGCAACACATCCAGAATGCAATATCTCAAATATTAAAATTGCTTTATGAATAAGCTTTATTGAAAATAATAAAGTTAGTATAACATGTAGTTTAACAATATAAAAGTAAAGTTTTTTTTAAAAATACCTATTCCATCATATATTTTAATGTCTAATATCTATTTGCTTAAACAGAATGAAGAACATAAGTATCCTTATATTTGATATGTTAGTTTTCCTGCATTTATTTATTAAATAGTTGTAATATTTCATAACATAGACAAAAAAAAGCAGAAACTATAATGGAACGTCCTAAATGTTTTAGACGTAAAATATTCCCATCTTTATTGATTCAGATTCTTCGTTATCTATCATTTGCATAAAAATAGCATTTATCATACATTACTTAAACAAATTCTTTTCTTCTGATTTAAGATTGGGTTCTAATATGATATATAAAATATCTCCATCAAATTGTTTCATTTGTTTTTTGTACATAAACATTCTTTTTAACCATTCTTTTCTATATTCTACTATGTTTAACCTTTCATATCCATCATAATAGATATTCTTCCTTTTCTTATCATATATATATTACTATAAATGCATATAGTTTTGGTATGTCTTTTCAGAGATAGTATCCCTTTTGATGTTTCTTATTAATTTTAGAAATAACTCCTCTTCAATATATGTTTTTAAGTTTGAAGGAGATTGTGTTTCTGGAGCTTGTTACCGTAACTATGCTTTACAATCTTCAGTAAAATCTTTATCATCTAAAAGGCTTTTTATTTTCATATGTTTTCCTTGAAAATGAACAGGAAGATTTCCATTATGAACAAAGTAACTTTTCCATTTTCTAATACATTGAACCATATATTTTTCTTTATTCCATATAGATTAAGCAATCTGAATACTAATAATCATCTTGCCTTGTCTATCTAGTAATTTTTATATAAACATGTGTATACTCAAAAGGTGAATATAATCATATGTAAATGTATTATGATTATCTTTTGTAGACCTTCCTATTGAGCATAATTTATTAATCTTTCTAAGGTACATGTAGGTCTATTGTAATAATAATAAGTAATAGAGGTAATAAAGATGAATCTTGTATAATCTGATATAATAATAATAATGTTTTATTTGATTTGCTAATACTTTCAAAGACCGGTTGGAAAAAGTATCAATTTTTTTGATTTCTTTTACATGCTCTTCTAATTTTATATTTTTTTTTTTTGTCTTTATTTTGTTGTTCTTGAATCTTCAAAATATACTGCTTTAATTTTATTTGCAGCTTCTTCATTTCAGTTAAATGTTTCATTGATAAGCTTTTGTTCTATTATTTTAAATTCTCTTAATTCATCTTCTGTCTATTCCTCATTAACTTCATTTTCTATCCAATCTAATTCATTTTCTATTTGATCTATTTCATCATCTGTTTTTCTTGATTCAATATTCTCTTTTATCTCACTAACTTTATTTTCCATCCAATCTAATTTATCTTTTATCTGATCTATTTCATCTTCTACTTTTTTTGATTCAATATTTCTTTGATTTTGAAATGTATAACGTCTATTTTTTCTAGGTATTTTACTAATCTGCTATTGTCTTTTTGACTTGCGTAGCATAATAAAAGTACAATCAGATTTTAAAAAAAAAAAAATCAAAAAAAGTTTAATTTATCAAATCAAAAAAATATCTGAGTTTAATTAATTATAGCAGTTATTAAATTGTAATAATATTGGCCTAAATTATACTGATCATATAAAAATCATACAATTTCAAATGCTTATAACTTTTTATATAGATTTTTTTTCGAAAAACTGATTAGTAATTTAATAGTATTCATCATAAATAATAAAGTTACCAGTTTATTTTTTAAAAAATTTATTTATTTAAAATTTTGAAAGATTTTTAAGTGTTACAATTTTATTTTTGAGTTAAGACTTCTGGCATCATATGGAACCTTTGCAATAAAAAAGGAAAAACTGCTAGGAAAAATTAATTTTACTTTTATATGCCAAATATGATTTTTAAGCTAAAATATGTTCAAATTTAACATTTACTCATTTTTGATTTTTCTGGCAGTTTTTTCCTTTTCTATTGCAAAGATCCCATATAATAAAAATTTTTTTATAAATATATTTTAAATATAATCAAAAGTAATAAATCTGACTGTATTATTTATTATAATTTTTAATATATAATAGTTACTTAATAAGTAATGCTAAGTAATAGTTTTATTAAGCATGTTGTCAACGTCTGAAATCAACCTTACTGCGCCGATCATTGATGACCTATGGAATGATGACGTAATAAGTACTGTGCCAAATGATCTACAGAATCCCTGATTTCCCTGATTCGCCTGATCAGCCTGATTCCCAGG